AGACAGACAGACAGACAGACAGACAGACAGACAGACAGACAGAGACACAGACAGACAGAGAGACAGAGAGACAGAAAGAGAGACAGAGAGAGAGGGGGGAGGGCGTTTGTGTGTGTTTTGCGGGGGAGTGTCTGTTTGTGTGCCGTACCCGTATTTGTGGGTTGATCAATAAATGTTGGATCAATACAGCCAGCACCACTGATAGCTAATGAGACTGACTGACCGAAAAGAAATATTTTCGGGAATATATTATTATTATAACAATATTATATATCTTAATGTTATTAGCATTGCTACAGATGATAAGAATAATAGTTATTGTCATATTGTGTCTCTGTTCGTCTTTGTTTTCTGATGATTAGAACTTTTATAATGGTATTTTCTGGTGCTATACGTTTTCTGCGATTTCTTTCTCTTTTGTTTTCTCAAACAAATGCCTTAATGACTAATTCCTTGTCCTTAAATGGTTACTTGGCAATCTTGTACTTTTCCATATCTTTTCGTTTGCTTTCATAATCCTCATTCACAGGGGTAGTTTTGTCAAGTCGTGTATGCGATAAGTAGGCCTACGTTTTGTTTCATTTTTCTCTACAGAAAATATTACACGAATTATAGGGGTAGATCATGGCTTGTCCTACTATTGGTAATTTCACAAGAAGAATAAATCATGGTCTACCATCATAACTCAAGTAACTCTTTTTTTAAACATACTGATATCAGCTGTCAAAATAGATCCGATCCAACAAAGTTCAAATGACCAGTCAAGTGGACAAGGGGATCCATTCAAGAGTCTCACAAGTCTCACATGAAAACAAAATTTTCGGTCTCGTCGGAGTCAGACTGAGAATCTGAAAAAAATGTGAATTTGTTCTCTTTATTTTTTACCTCACTATTTACATGTTGTGCTCTCTGTATGTCTCCCTCCGAGAAATAAACCTAAAAAAAATAATAACGTAAGCAGAGGCAAAGCAAGTAGAAAACGTACGATAAAAAAGTTGAAAAATTAAGAAACTGCAGTTATATGACATGTTGTCGTTAGAAAAGAGATGACTTGCCTTTGATTTTAAACTTCGCAGCCAAAACAAACCAAAGGCTGGGGGTTGTTTGCTAGCATTAGAGTAGTGCATTGTTTTGTTTGGTTACAACTTGTACAGAAAGTGGAGGGAGACATACGGATAGCACAACATGTAATTAGTGTGGCAGAGATAAAAGTGAAAATTCCAGATTTTTTTCCCGTCTGTCTATCTATATGTGTCTATCTCTGTTTCTCTCTCTCTTTCTCTCTCTCTCTCTCTCTCTCTCTCTCTCTCTCTCTCTCTCTCTCTC